AGAGTCTGATACTGTATATTCTGTCTGTATATACAGGGTGTCCCAAAAATGTCTCGCAATCCGAAAGTGACGGGTTCCTCGGGCCATTTGAAGCAACTTTTTCCATTACAAAAATTTTCTCCGAGGCACCGTTAACGAGTTATGAACGAAAAACAGTGACCAATGAGAGGCGAGCTCGGCTGGCGCGAGGCGATTGAGCCAATGAGCGGAACTGGGCTTCGCGCGCTGGGTGGCTGGACCGTCTCGCGTCAGCCGTACTCAATTCTTATTGGTCACTGTTTTTCGTTAATAACTCGTTAACGGTGCACCGGAGAACATTTTTGTAAAGGAAGAAGTTGCTTCAAATGATCCGAGGAACCCGCAATTTCCGGATTGCGAGACATTTTTCGGACACCCTGTAGACTGTTGTAAATCGATGTGAAGACAAAAGAAGTGTGAAACAATGCATATGAAGACGATTATTTGGTTCAAACGATGAGCGAGTGAGCTACTAGAGCAAGCCACTATAGTGGCGCGTCGGGCCTAAAAGGTTAAATAAAAATATATTGTGAAGAAAACTCTGAACAGGAAAGCTTGAGTATCTAGAGTGAAAAAGCCCAGAAAATTTCCCATAACTATTTTGACACAAATCGTTATATCGTGGTTTTTTTTCTTGATCGCAGGTGCTTTTGGGTACTTCGAAGTTACCCATGACATCACGAAGTACAGTAAGGCGAAGGTATTTTCCCGCATCGGGAAACGCACCCCCATCGCCGTGAGATTCTCCACTGTTGGCGGTGAGTCTGGCTCAGCGGACACTGTCAGGTAATAATGATCAAAATTTGCCAAGCTGTGCAATTATGCTTTTTTCTCATTAAAAAAAAAACAAAGTTCTATGGCATCGGTTATGTTACTTGTGAATAAGTGATAAGTAGACACGAATTCTGATACGAGGTCTCATTTTTAAATATCGAAATAATCGACACAAGATTTTTTTGTTATGTAAAAATTTACGATCATACATGCAAATATGTCATGAACGTTTCTAAACATGATGTATGGTTTAATATGAATCCATATACGTACACAAAAGATATAATATAAAAAATGTTCAATCAATGACTAAAGTTCATACAAAAATTTGATAAATATATATAAATAATAATATAAATATATATTAAAATATATTATTTATATATATATATAAATAATAACGTAATTCTAATATGGTCTAATATTATGTAATAATATGATAATATGGTCGTAATTCTAATATTATATAATAAAATATAACCTAGTTTATATAAAATAAAATGTATAGATTATAAATAACCGGATAATATAATAATTAATATATATTAATATATTCTAATATTAACAATTTTCTTTCTATTCTCTGGTACTAACAAACGGATTTTTGTTAACTTCCCTAACTATTTGTCTGTCCCTAGACGAAGGAAAGATGTCAACATAAATACCGGCGCAAATATACAAATATATCCAGAGTTATTCAAACCAAAAAATAGAAAAACCGTTTGCAACGTGCGCTCTATTGTTTTCGAATAAATTAACGAACAACTGTTATCACTTAATCGCTTAAATATTGAAAGCGTGGGAAGGTTATTCAGCGTGTCGTTTCAATGAGTAAATTCGAAAGTTCCTAAACCCATTGCAGAGTCTACATGTAAAACATTATAGAAAATCGAGATATCACGATAAAAACCGTGGTTGTTCGCGATGCGGCCCATTACACGGAAAGTCGCGGAGATGTCAACACCGATGCTCTATCGCTTCGAATCAGCTGATTTATTCGCTCGGAAATACGCGATAAAACCGACGGCAACGCGACCGAGCGTGTCGCTTTTTAAAAAGAAAAGTTTTTTTTCCGAAACGATGGTTTCGAATGAATCACTGGATTGCGAGATTTTTATCCTGAACCGTGCTTCAACGAATGACTCAATTCGTTATTTACGCCAATTTGCAATCAGGGCTTGTGACATTGGCAAACATTGTTCGTCACGAACCAAGAGGATTTCACTCTGTTACCTGTTAGAGTGATACTTTTTTCATCGCCTGTTTGTACTTAAAATAAACAATGAATTCTGTTTTAGCGCTTCAAGTGTTACGTCATTCGTACAAGACTATAATCCTTCTATCGAACTTGAAAATTGATTTTTATTAACTAGGCTTTACGAAATGTTATAAAACCGTGCTATAACAAATCGTCTTTTCCACCTGTTATTGAACAAGTTGTTCCGATTTCGTGTATCTTTTATGGACGCTAGTATGGCAGCTTTTTTTTGTTTATCAAGTTTCTTCAAACTCTCATAATGTAGTGTACAATCTTGTGCATTGTTCGAATAAATCTGAGCCAAAAATAAATTATTGCTTTCAATTGTAATATTATTATATATATAGTATTAGCATTATATATAATATATAATAATAATATTAATAATATTTTTATTATTTATAATATAAATATAATATAATAATATAATAGTATATATATATATAATATATATTTCAATTGTAATATTATTATATATAATATAATAATATATAATAATATATTAGTTAACCAAAAGTAAATTATTGCTTTCAATTGTAATATTATTATATATTATATATTATTATTACATATATAGTATTAGTATTATATATAATATATTATAATAATAATATTAATAATATTATTATTATTTAGTGTACGTTGTAGGGAAATTATTCCTTGAATCGTTTAGTCGGTCGACAAGTCGATCATCATTTGACCTGCAATTTAATTGTCTACGATTTAATTGTCTCTGAAATCTACTTTCAGAGATCCACGCGGTTTCGCACTGAAGTTTTACACCGAGGAGGGCATTTGGGACTTGGTCGGCAATAACACGCCCATCTTCTTCATCAAGGACCCAATATTCTTCCCTAGCTTCATCCACACTCAGAAGAGAAATCCGGCTACCCACCTGAAGGTAATTCTCAATTATCCTTTACATTCCTGTTTTCAAAATCTGCATGTATAATGTTCTACCTTTGGTTTCGAAGATAATCTCCAGATTGAATCATACGCAGGCTTCGTTATCTTCAATTACGTATGGTTGTCCAGTTTTTTAATCGTATGTATCTTTTGCATTTAGAGTGTTGTACAGAAAATACGGACCGGTGAACATGATTAATTGGTTATAACAAAATCTCTCCAATAGCTTAAATGAATTGACTTACACAACGCATACATAATTATTGCGCGATCACAGTATACCTGATTAGATAACTTCTCTTCAGACAACTTCTCCACTTAAAATGGATAAAAAGATAAAATGGATTAAAAAGATAACATATGTTTGGAACTTTTCTCTATAACTTTTTTCAGTTGAAAAGAGTATATTATTTTATCTAAGGAGTCATAACTAGAGTTAACCGCTTAAAATGAACATGATTATTGCATACCTTTTCAGAAAAATTAATCGCCCTTTTTCTTAAACAAATTGCTTATTAAATAGTACTATATCATACAACTTGTAAGTAATTGCTTCATTGCAAAATCTTAATAAATTTCAGAGTAGTAGGAAATCACATATTTCGCGTTTTAATCGCACATTTTTAATATCTTACAGTAAAAGAATTTTCCCAAATTCTGAATCAAGAAGTTCATTTTAAACAAAACCTATTAATACGTCAACCGCATATGGCTTTTTAAACTAACTTAAGACAAAAATTAATTTTTTATTATGAGATACAAATGCAGAAATTATAAAATATTTCTCTTGTAAAAAAGCAGCAATCTCCAAGGTTTTCTGTTTTTCGAGTAACACTGTATTTGACGTTATGCTTCAAGTCTTAAATGCGATCTGCCTAATTGATCTGTCTAATCGACAAACTATTCTTTTTACAGGACGCGGACATGTTCTGGGACTTCATCTCTCTGAGACCAGAGACGACGCAACAAGTCATGTTCCTGTTTTCCGATCGTGGTATACCCGATGGTCATCGTCACATGAACGGCTACGGATCCCACACATTCAAGCTGGTAAACGCTGAAAACGAGATGGTCTACTGCAAATTCCACTACAAGGTACATTGTCTATTTTATATTAATTTAAATAATAAGAGAAAAGAGGAATACTTAATTTTTTATTTTAACAGAATTTCTATTTTTCCTGGCGAATCATTGACATTTTATTGGGTTGGCAACTAAGTAATTGTCGATTTGTTCAAAGAAATAAAAAATTTCTTTTTACTTGGAACGAAGTTTAATCTGTAATGTATTTTCCATTTTGTTCGATGACCTTTTGCCATCTCCTGACAACTTGAAAATTCCACGCTCGTAGAAAGTCTGATCCTTTTCGGCCAAAAACTGAGTTAAGTGAGATTTTACAGCGTCATCGTCATTCAAAGTTTTACCACGAAGGGAGTTGTCCAGGGATCGAAATAAGTGGTAATCCGATGGCGCGAGATCGGGGCTATATGGTGGGTGTAACATCAATTCCCAACCAATATCCATCAATTTTTGCCGAGTGGAGAAAGACGTGAGCGGCCTAGCATTGTCCTGCTGGAAAATGGACCTTTACGATTGACCAATTCTGGTCGCTTTTCCTTGACCGCTGCATTCAATTTGTCCAGTTGCTAACATTCACGGATAATAAGAAATAACATAATAATAATAATAATAATAATAATAATAATAATAATAATTTTATAAATAATAATAATAATAATAATAATAATAATAATAATAATAAT